TTTTTTTATTATTTTCTTTTTTCATTCCTTTAATTTTTATTTATTCAATTATTATATTTTTACTTGTAGGTTATTTCACTATCATTTCATTTCAGGTTTATTGTTGCTTAATATAATTGTTATTTTCAACTATTCATTTTTAATTATTCTTTTTTACTTGTTTCAGGGTTTTCAAATCATTTTATACAGTAGACAATGGAAGTCCGAACTAGTGAAATTCATCACGAAACATTGTCAATCACCTTCAAACAAACGATTCGTGGATTAGGCCTACTGGAGAAACCACGTTAAAAAACGCGCCGAGTACACTCCCTCACAGGTGATGTGGAAACGTGTGCATATTACATAGAACGTAATTTTTACATTGCGATATATCAATCAAAACTTATTGATTCCAGAAAGTACTTTAGTTAAATACCTTGGCCTAATGATCGATCGACACATTAAATGGGATTCACACGTATCATATCTAACTCAAAAATTACGAGGATTTTTGTTTCGCTTCAAACTATTGAAACAATGGCTCGAAATTCCCTATATGACTAATGTATATTATGGTTTGGTTCAATTGCAATTCTCTTATGGTATTACAGGTTGGGGAGGTATTAGGGATATCCACTTGAGATGTCTGGATATATTACAAAAAAAATTCTAAAAATTCTGTTAGGTAAAGGTAGAACGTTCTCCAGTGACCTGCCAGTGACTGCCGAAAGATTATTCTGAAAGTCGTAGAGAACAAAATAAAAATGAAACCAGTGGAACACATGTATAGTATATGTAGAAAAGAAAATACATTTTTAGCTCCTACATGCCGACAATTGTTAGGTCAAAGACACTGTAATTATCTTGGCCCAAAGATCTGGAGTATAGTACCATAAAAAATACAACTCATTAATAAACAAATTAAATCCAAATTCAAGAAAAAACTGAAAAATTGTCTCAGAAATTCTAATCGAACTCTGTTTCATTAAAATATTAATCAGCACACTTTCTAAAAAATGAAACCCCCTGAATGAACTCAACAAAAAATACTCAATTTCAATCCCATCATGTCCTTATGTGTTTCATATTATGTATACAGGGTGTCCCTGGACTTCCTCTTTTCGTCTCGGGAATGTATAGATGGGGTCAAAATATCACCAGTACTTCATATAACTTTTTTTCCTAAATGTCTTCGTAACCAAGTTACGGGCCCTCGAAGTTACAAAATGAAAAATGTTTTTCTTTGATAACTTTTCAAGTG